AAAGAAACCTACGTCGCCGGGCGACAACTAAAATTCAGTTAATATTTTATTATAATCGATCCTGACGAATAAATGAATTTCATAAATGAATGAATTTTATAAATGAATGGTTTTTGCTGCCGAATTACTAGAATACAATATTTCAAGGCAAATGACGGATCTATTCGATAATTTTTATTCGGATAGTTTTCAACGAATGTTTTCTTACTAACTATCGAATTATTCGAATGAATTGCAACTATCGAATGTTTCGATAGTATTCATTCGATAGTTCCCACTACTAACCAAAACCCCTTTCTATTGGGTTTCTTGTTCTTATCTGAGCTTCGTTAAATAAGTTTTCGGCCCTCTTTGTTGAATTCGTCATAGGAGTTATTTGGTATTTTTATTACTAGGGGACAGTAGGTTTTATTCCATACCTACTGTCCCCTAGTAATAAATTATTTCCATATCCTCCTCCTCCTCCTAGGCGCCTTCTCTGTTGAGGTTGGCGATTAATATGGCGTATGACTCTCTGTCCAGAGCTTGGTGAATAAGAGTGTTTCCGTCGGTGTGATTTCCATATACTCCATTCAATTGTCTGCATTTGCCCCTCCAGGGGCGCTATTCTGTACAATCGTCGGTATCGGTAAGTTACCGACAGTTATCGGTAGGTACGTACGGCCAATGAGCGTCGTGTTGATTGTTGTTGTCATAGTTTTTGCTGACATTAATAGGACATATAGCAAATTTGTACCGACGAGGATCGGTATCTTTACCGTGCCCTTGTTAACCTCACATTAGAGATACCGAGAGTCGTCGGTACAAATTTTCTATATGTCCTATTAACCCAGATATCCCTGACGTCCTTCCTATAGGAGGCTTCCTTAAAATAGATATGCCTACGCCACTGCTATTACAATTGCGCGAGCCATCTGTTAACAGTGTTCGGAAAGTTCTTTAGTAACATTACAACACGTGGTTGCGTTTACCAGTGCCTTTGTTTCCTTGGAAAGTTGCTACAAACTTTGGCAAAAATGGCGGAATATGGCATCAGATTTTCAAAGTAAGTTATTTGGATGAAATTCTTTTTGTATACTTTTAAATTAATAATTATCATATCATAAAAACACAGCAATAATGACTTATTTATTTCTAACCTCCAAATTGAAAAGCAGTTTTTGACAAGAGAACGTTATTACTTAGCGTCCTTTATATAGGACGTTAGGAACAAGAGGTACTGTTGTCAAGACACATTTTATTTTATTTTATTATTTTAGAGGATTTTCCGCGCATGAGGCGATTGCTATGATCGAGGAAGACGATTTTCCTCATGCTTCAGCCGATATAATTCTGTTTCCACCGAACGATGGATGGGACACGGATGAGGATTCAGGCGAAGAGGATGCAGTATCTCCTGATAACTTACCATCAGCACAACTGAGAGCCCCAGCTGAGATTCAGGTACCTGTTGAAGACGACGACTCTGATGACGATAATATACCTTTAGCCAGATTAGTTACGCAATCAAAACAAGTATCAAAAGTTTCAAAAACCTACAACTGGACAGATGGTCACATTTCATACGAATCGGGAATATTTGAATCAACTAATGACACCGAGTACCAAGAATATCAAGAAGAAGATCCTTACTCGATTTTTTCCAAATTGTTTGACGAAAACATTTTTGATATTTTAATAGAAGAAACAAATAGATATGCATTATCCAAAAATACAAATAGTAGGCCTGTTACTGTAAGAGAAATGAAAAGCTTTGTAGGTATTCTTGTTTTGAGTGGATACGTTCTTTATCCGAGACGAAAAATGTTTTGGGAGGAAGATAAGGATGTTCACAATCCTCTTGTGTCAGATGCACTATCTAGGGATCGATTTGATTATATTATGCCAGTTTTCCATATTGCCGACAATAATAATTTAACTCCAAATGACAAATCTGCTAAAATACGACCACTATTCACATTACTAAACCAAAACTTTTTGAAACATGCTCCGCACATTGAATATCATAGCGTTGATGAGGCTATGGTACCCTATTTTGGGCGGCATGGTGCCAAGCAATTTATAAAGGGAAAACCTATTCGATGGGGTTACAAACTATGGGTAGGCTGCTGCCAAAATGGATATATAAATTGGTTTGAGCCTTATCAAGGAGTATCAACGCATATTACATCGAAATACAAAGATATAGGAGTTGGTCCAGGAGTTGTACTTACTTATATGGATAGACTTCAAAGTCGTTGGCCTGAAAGTAAATTTCACATTTTCTTTGACAATTTTTTACAGATCTTCCACTGCTTGAATATTTATCGGAAAAAGGGTATACGTGGAACCGGCACTATACGTTCTAACCGCATTTTGAAGATCCTTTGAGGCCAAAAGCAATTGCAAAAAGCTGGCAAGAGGTACATGATCATAGGTCTGATTTTGATAAAAAATAACTATTGTAAGTTGGAATGATAACAGCGTAGTGTCGTTGGCGTCTAACGCTGCTGGTATAAAATCAATCATGTATGGTAAAACGGTATTCCCAACAACAAAAAGTCTATATTGGCACCGCAGCCCTTCTTGGTAAAATTATATAATCAAAACATGGGAGGAGTCGACAGAAGCGATCAAAATATTTCTTTGTATAGGACTGGCATAAGAGGTAAGAAATGGTATTTTTGTTTGTTTGCGCATTGCATTGATATGGCAATACAAAATGCGTGGCATCTAAGCAAGATTGGTGAAAAACGGCCCAATTTAGATCACCTAGCATTTCGTAGAAGAATTGCATGTGCAATACTCCAAGAAAACGGCAAGATAAACAGTAATGTGTCTGTAGGCCGACCCAGCCAAAGAGAAAATATTGACTCACGCTACGATGGAATGCGACATAGGCCTCCACGTACGATGTTTCGTGGCTTATCATACCTCAAAATAATTTACTAATATTTCTAAAAATGAATATATGCTATTTTCTTAGATTTAATGTGTAAACAATTGTATCACGATTTATTTGTTTCAATTAGTAGTTTTTTTTTCATTGCATAAGAACAAGTAGCTCTTGTTCCTGACGTCCTGCATATAGGACGGCAGTTTTTTTGGCAACCTAGTATATCTATGTACCAATTTTGATAAAAACTTGTTTTTTATATCTAATAAAAAGTTTTGAAACGAATTAGACGTTTTCTTTGGCGGAGACATGGTTCAGGAATAAGTGGGTTAATCACAGAGTTAAGTGGGTTAATGATAAAGCTATGACAAGAACAATCAACACTACGCTCATTGGCCGTACGTACCGATAGCTGTCGATACCGACAACTGTACAAAATAGCGCCCCAAGAGATTGTATCTTCACATGGAAACTAGACACTGTATCTTTTCATCTTGGAAAGCGACAAATATTATAAAATAACACAATCTCGCTTCGCTCGTGCGCTCAACTTGTTGACAAACAACAACAAAAGTTGTCGATTGCCCACTCTCGTGGGCAATCGACAACTTTTCGCACTAGTTGCACAATTACTATATTGAGTGCCTTACAACCACATAACCAGTGTTTACTTTTATAAACATTTTCACTAAAATGACAAATACACGATTTTAATTAAGTGTGTGTACGTGTTGGGGTACTAATAAAAAATGCCAGAACAACCCCCCTATGTGTTTCGTATTATAAGCACAATATAGAAATAATTTATGTTTTCAGATTTTATAACTTCTAATTAAGTCAAGAAAATTAAAAAATATTCAAGGACATTTTGCGAAGACTTGTATTAAACAAAGTTTTTACGATAAATGTTGCAAAAATTCGTCGTAAAAAAGTTAGTGGGTAATTTTTCCCACCTTACTCAGCTGCCACGCTTCTTGCTAATTTTCTTAAAATTTGTTAATAGCGTTAGTCGGAGAAAATAAAAACTTATTTTATAGCCCTTCTGCTTTACTTGTCTCTTAAAAGTTTTAAGGCATATTTAAGAAAAGCTATCTTCAGTATTTTTATAGGGACAAATCTCGCACATAATATACCGAATGTCGGCATGTTATTATTATTATTATCTACAATATCACGCTCAAAAGAGTTAATTATATTCTAATTAAATTTCGCCGTAAGTATACAATACTTCTAAGGCGAAACTTGTCTTTTTAATAGATGGTCTTTCTTACAATGTGTGTTGTTTTGAACACTACTGTTTTCTGTAGTTGGTTTGAGTTGTCCAGGTAACTCCAATTCTTCTTCTTTACGTGCCGTCTCTTTCGTGGAGGTTTACCATTTTATCGTCTTGTATAAAAAATAACGATTATATATTTATAATTGCATTAAAAAACTATAAAATATTTTCTCATTCATTAAGTTAGTTTACGTTGTAAGTTAAATAAGTGAACGTAGGTGTAAAAGAACATAACTCATGAAAAAATTACAGCTTTCTGTAATAAGCGTCAATCTAATAATTGCTATTTTCATTAAACCTACTTAGCCTGCCTTGAAAGTTAAGACGACAGCTATTTTAAGAAATTGCTTATGTTATGAGTCACTCATTATTTATTTACTCTTAGTATTACTACATACTGCATGTTTCTTAAAATATATTTATTTTTATTTTTTAATAATATTGTTCAACATATTATTTTGTAAACTTTTTATTAGAATAAATTAATATATCATTAAATATATCAACAATAAATATATAATCAATATTGTAATAAACATACGAAAACTGGATTTATTGCAAATCGTATATTAATTGATGATGGAGTCCTGAGGATGATTGACCTGTTAAATAACGATGATATTCTAAATATACATTTTTAATTGCTTTTACAAATTAAAATTTACTGTTTGCTGTTCATTGAAATGAAAATAAATATGAATTTTATTAATTCTTTAATATTACATTCGACACATTTTATATGTATTTGTGTAAGGATTCATTATATATTTTTATACAAATATGTATAAATAATCTTTAATGAGTTATTTGAGTGATCATACATTTTTACGATGACTTGTAGATATATGAATTTTCTATAAAAGAGCCAATTACGGCAAATTCATTTTCTTCAATTCCAACTAATTGCCTAATAGGTTTTTTATAAACCACACTACCAGCTCTGCGAAATAGGATAAGTAGTTTTTCAAAAGAACGCTTATCAAGAAGATTCCTATTTGGATATCTTTGAGCATAAGCTCTTGATGCCAGGAAGCAATTTTTCTCACAAAATAAAATCACTAGTAAGTAACATTTGTTCTGCTAGCAGATATTGCTATATTTTTCGTAATAAAATATTGAATACTTACTTATTAAACTATTGTAGATAAATTTATATAAACTGTTATAAATCTAAATAATAATGTCCATAAACTAATGTCTCGATTTTGTAAATAATTACTAACTGTCACTAGCAAATTGACATAGCGACACCAGCCATTTTGATTGCGATTTTATTGAAAAATCGCTTTTTATTCAAAATCTGAGCTAGATAAATATAGGAAACCCTAACATAGTTTGAAAGAGCATCCCAAGTAGCAAATTTTATTTTATAAAGGCTGTATAAACAGCTATGTGATAATTTGTATAGGATACCTCAATTCATACAACGTGCTATAAGACCGTAATATGATAGCTTTACAACCAAAAAAGGCCCATTTTTATACAACCGTTTAGTAGTATAGAAGTTCTATAAAAAGGGTATACAACTCTTATGCAACTATTTTACACAGCGTTATATAACTATTATAAAACTTGTTTTATTGTGTATTACGTGGTCACATCTAAGAAACAGAACAATACAAACATTTGATCATTTAGCGAGGTAAAAGAGTATTTTATTTTTTACCGAAGAATATTAGGAGCAAATTATATTTTAAGCCTGTCGTAAAATGAATGGAGGATGTGGATTGTTAAAAAGGAGACTATACTCGACAATGAAAATGGCAGGTAGAGCCAGAAGGTACAACAAATATGTAATATAAAAAATCATTAATAGGGTTTGAAAAGTAGGGACAATTTTTGTTGCGCCGAAAATTTTACTGGTAAATTATAGGTATGTATTTGGCAAAAAATTAAAGCGCTTTAATTTCGATTAAGGTTTACGTATAAATTTAAACAATAAAATAAAATAATATTTTTAAAAATTTTTGTTATTAATTTAATTAAACACTTTATTACGGTATGTGGGAATCTTATCACAAAATAGTTCTCAAAAATAACATTTTACAATTTATTCTGATGTTTTTAATTTTGCGCATATAATGGCGGCCATAGGCCATACAAAAACTCTGCCTTAAACATGGCGAATTATAATGCAACCATTTTATTATAAACGAATCCCTTAAATAAGTCTTTGTTGTAAAATAAAACGGTATAGGATAAATATCTATCATTACGCAGAATTTCCAGGCACTATAGAACTATTTTGGACATATTGAGATTTGTGACAAATAGATGTTGCCAAATCTCATTTGATTAGTATTTAAACTAACAAACATGATCAGATTTTCATGGATTCATGCACGCAATGCATTTCATGCGTGCCCGACGAGCGAGCGGCAACATAAAGGCTTGGAAAAACAACAATAAAACAATACAAACATTACTACAGTAAAACTTTTACATCAACGTAGCAACAATGCTTTGAAGAAACCAGACAACCCGAGAGATTTTGGCTTTTGGGAACCCAGGGAATTCTCGGGATTATTTACCGTAATTTCGAGGAGTTTTTTCTGACATGCCCTTTATAACTACCACTGCGTTTGTTAACTTTTTTCCAACTTTGTCCAGAATTCATAATAGCTGTGATTGATTATATTCGTACGTAGATATTAATTTTGCAACAACAACAATAACAAAATAAATAACTAGGTATACCATTTAATTTAAAATGAGGTTATATTATACATTACCAGTTTTATAATGCAGATATTACAGCGAATTTATTTGGTTAATCACAATTTTATCATATAAGGCTATATAACTGGTGTTGTATACAGTACCGTAGTTTAACGTAATAAAACATTCTATCATACAACGTAATACAACTTTAATAAGACAAGTTTAAGTAACTATTATATGATCTTGTGACTACTAGTTATATGAATATTATAGAACTCTTACATGGTGGGTATAAGAGCCTAATAAAATAATATGTTTGTTATCATATAGCATTGTCTTATTAAGTGTTATATCATACTAAAAGAAATTATCGTTTAATGCGTTATAGGATACGTTGTAAAAACCACTAGAAAATAGTTTAATATGACAACTTTAA